CATTATTCCAGAGAAGAGGAGGAGTCCCTACTCTTTAAAATACATATTTATTTTCATTTATTTATTTGGCTGCACTGGGTCTCAGCCTCTGGATCACCAGGGAAGTACCAAGGAGTCCCTACTCTTAAAGTGAAAAATGTGTAATAAGCTTCTGGGGCATTTGAAAAAGACAAGGGTGAATCTCCAGTTTCCCTTTTTCCACGAGGGAAAAGGTCTCCAGTCCTTTCCTTTTTTTTCTCTGAGGAAATGCTCCTGGTAGATTTATCTTCTCCCCTCTGAGATCGTGGTGCCCTGTTGCGCCCATGTTTTAGAATGGAGGGCTGGTCTGCAGGAGTCTTCCTTTGCCGTTCTAGTGAGGGCGAGGCACCATGGACCCTGCCTCCTTTGAGAGCACAGTGACTGAGGCTCACTGCACTGTCATGATGTGATCATGAGGCAGGCAGTGCAGCTCTTGATTCCATTCTCTTCAGCGGGCACCCAGAGGCCAGGACTCTTGCCCAGATGGTCCTGCTTGCTCTGTAGGCCAGAACCCACCCAGGTTTCTGACTTAGTCCTGTGCTGTTACCTGAAGGACACTTGATGCAGATAGTAAACACCATGTGTTTAGTGCATTCCTCTGCTTAAACTCCTTGCTCCTCACAGCCCACAGGATAAAGCCCAGACTCCTTAAAACGGCCTTCCTGGTCACCATGTCTGTACCTTCTCTTTCCTCTCCTCCTCCCTCTCCTGGTCCATCTGTTGGACTCCTGCATACTCCTTTGAGCCACTTCCAGGAAGCACGCGCTTGAACAGTCTGCCCTTCCCCCCACCCCGCCCTCTGTTGGCCCCTCTTCTGTGTTCCTGGAGCCCCCATCAGCCCCTTCATTAAATCATCATCCTAGCGCATATGGCGGTACAGTGTGTTAGTATTGTCTCATCTCCCCACTGGGCTGTGAGGTCCTGTTTACCTAGCACTTGGTAGAGATTCATTCACTTACCTTTGTTTCTTATAAATCTCCTTCTTCTTTTTCATGTACAAACCTCAATTATCTTTAGAAGCCTAGCATCCTCTGCTTTTTTATACATCTGCACATATATATATAGGCTTCTCAGGTGGCTCAGTGATAATGAACCCCCCGCCAATGCAGGAGATGTGGGTTCGATCCTTGAATCAGGAAGATCCCCTGGAGAAGGAGATGGCAACCCACTCCAGCATTCTTGCCTGGACAATCCCATGGACAGAGAAGCCTGGCGGGTTATAGTCAGACACAAAAGAGTCGGACACAACTTAGCAACTAAACAGCAATACATGTGTGTGTGTATATATATATTTGTGTGTGTGTGTGTGCACAAATACATACACTGTACGACTTAGTTTGGAAATGACAAGGCTAAGAACATTGTGGGATTTTTTTTTTTTTGGCACGCAGTGCAGCACGCAGGATCTTAGTTCCCCTACTGGGGTCCAGACCTGCACCTCCTGTAATGGAAGTGGGAGTCTTAACCACTTGAAGTCCCGGGGGTGTTTTGTTTTTAAGGCAGTTTCTGCTTTACCTGGTATGTGAGCAGGGAGTAGTATGCGCTCTTACACCCTGAGAGGTCATGCAGGGATTGTGGGGGTAGCAGCTAAGGCATACCATTCGGGGGGGGCTCTCTCCACTTGAATAATGGTGAAACCTGTGAGGCTTTACAGCCTGGAGGCCTCATACGTCCTCACCTAAAATCCACACAGTTGAAGTGGCAGGTGCTAGGTCTGGCATGTGATTCCTGCCTGTCTTACTCGTGTAAGATGGTGTCTATGATGTCGGTTCCTAATCCTGTAGCCCTGGAAATACTGTACATTGACATGTTGCATGACATGATTCTGTCATCTCTGATTTGTCTGTAGTTGGTGCAGTTGACCAAAGTCAGTACCGTTGGTGATGGTCAGCAGAATCACTGTAGCTAGCTTTGGCTCACAAGGGAATCTGTTATAAAGATACCGGTGTGATGCTTGGAACTGTGGGCCAGAGGCGTGGTTGGTTCTCCCCAGGAAAGAGATTAGGGGAGCAGGTAACAGTTGTCCAAGACAAGGGAGTTTTGGGTGGGACCATCCTGAAAGACGTCTCCTGATTGCCTTGTTCATGGGATGTAAACAAAGGATTTCACTAACCATTTCAAGAACTGATGTACATAGGTAATTTGAGATAGTATAAAATCTTTAAGTCGGAAGGTGATACTTCTGTGGACAGTGTAACAAATAAGGCAGTCTTCTGTGTCCTGGCTTCAGTTTTTCAACTGAATTCCAAGCACTAACGATGATTGCTAGTTTTCTAACAGCTGATTGAATTTAATGCATAGCTTTGCTTTCCTCAGACAAAGATGATAAACCTGTCAAAAATAATTGTGCTTTAACTTAGTTCTTTGTCAATGACAGATGATGAAAACTCTCAGTGAGAATTTCTGAATTACCAAATCCACGCCTAGCATTTACATATGCAAAAAACAGTCTCTCTTGTGTAACCTGGAGCAGTGTGTCAGAGTCGTCTGGGGAGCGTTCACAGATGAGAGACTCAGCTGCGGCCCCCACACGCTGATTCCTCAGGCTTGCGGTGGGGCCTGAGTGCCTGCAGAGGTGAAGAACAAGCTCCCCAGATGACCTGATGCTCTACAGCTTTGAGAGGCACTGCGTCAGGGAGGCTTCATTTATTGGTGTCTCCTGGGATGGAAATCATAGTCATCTCCAAAATAGACCAGGCACAAAGCGGGTTCTCTGAAGACGCCACAACTTCATTCTTCAGCCTCAGCTGTACCGTGGTTTCTTCTAGTACTGGGGGGCTTTAATCTGAATCAACAGATTTTCCGGAAACTCATACCACGCAGAAACTTCTACCCAAAACAAAATAGAAATAATTCATTTTTAAACATTGACAGAACTGGTTGTGTTTTGTAGAATCTCCTGCAGTCAGGATTTGATTGTTTGCATCCCCATGGTGTCATTTAACATGTTTCCCTGTCCCAGTGTTCTTGTAAACTGGTAGGTAGCAGCTCAAGCAGATGGAAGTTAGATATTTTGGCAAGAATTCTTCACAGGTGATGTGGTAGGTTGATGAGGGGGCCCAACAACATGCCTCTCTTTTTAACAGTTTTTGTTTTTCCCCAGTGTTTTATTATATGATATTTTTTATTCTTTGTTTTTGTGGAAAAATTTGATTTTGACCCACTAAGTTGATTTACAACCCATTGATAGATACAAGCCCTAGTTGGAAAAATAGTGTTATCTAGAGGGAGATAAGCTTGCACTTGGATACTTAAAAGGTGATATTATAGATGCCTGTAGAAGAATGTCTAACATGAATATTCTAGTATGAGGATAATTGTAAAGTAGTGACAATCTATATAAAGAAGTAACCCCCACTGAGTCAAAGTTAACAGCCATTTATGATTGTTGTTTTGGTCCATTCATTCATTAAGGATTGCTAGTTATCTTTGAATATCTGGTAAATACTGAACCCTGGATAGAAGCCTTTGAAAAGACATTGTTAATTGAGAAACAGTGAGACAGAACCTCACCTTGGACTTCTGTTGGTGGTCCAGTGGATAAGCGTCTTCCTGCCAGTGCAGGGGACATGGGTTCAATCCGTCATCCGAGAAGATTCCACATTCTGCAGAGCAATAAGCACGTACTCCCTAGAGCTCGTGCTCTGCAACAAGAGAAGCCAGCCCACCGAGAAGCCCGTGCACCACGAAGAGTGGCCCCTGCTCTCTGCAACTAGAGAGAGCCTGCACGCAGCAATGAAGACCCAGTGCAGACGCAGTGCAGTAAATTTAAAAAAAAGAACCTGGCCTTGATTCTTTACTAGAAATGATTGCATCCTGGGGCACTGTTGTGTGGTTTTAGGAAACTTAGAATGAGCAAATATGTTCCCAGCCACCTTCTCTGAGCCCTAGTGTGCTGCAGGGCTTCCCAGGTGGCGAAAGTGGTAAAGAACACACCTGCCAATGCAGGAGACATGGGTTCGATCCCTGAGTCTAGAAGATCCCCTGGAGGAGGGCATGGCAGCCCACTCCAGTATTCTTGCCTGGAGAGTCCCATGGACAGAAAAGCCTCGTGGGATACAGTTCATAGGATCAGAGTCAGAGATGCCTGTAGCGACTTAGCATGCATGCACATGCTGCAGAGTGGATGGATCGGTATTGACTTGATACGTTCATAGCTTCCCGTTTTTACCTTCAAGCCCTTTACACAGGTCCATTTTCTCTCAGAAGCACAGCAGTCTTCTTTAGTTTTTGATCCTTGATTCTCACAGGAGGAAGAAGGGAATCATTCTTGGGCTGTCTTCCATCCTCTCTCTGACTCTGCTTGAGCTGCCTTGCCTTGCTGAGGGACATCTGTTCCTGCATGTGGGGAGTGCCCATCCCTGCCCCTCCTAATTGTCAATTCTGAATCGTTAGTGTAATCCATTGACCTGACCTGTTGGCTTCTTTAGTTAAAGATACTTTAGGTACTTCCCTGGTGATTCAGTGGTTAAGACTCGTGTGTTTTCCCTGCAGGCAGCTGGGGTTCAATCCCTGGCTGGGGAACTAAGATGTTACATGCTGTGCTGCCAAAAAAAGAACAAACCAAATGTACCTATTTTCTTAAAAGTTTTTTTTTTTTATTACTTTTAAAAAGCTATTAACATTGTAAATCAGCTGTGTGTGCTGAGTTGCTCAGTTGTGTCTGACTCTTTGCGACCCCATGGACTGTAGCCCGCCAGGCTCCTCTGTCCTTGGTGATTCTCCAGGCAAGGATACTGGAGTGGGTTGCCATGCCCACCTCCAGAGGATCTTCCCGACCCAGGGATCAAACCCAGGACTCCTGCATTGCAGGTGGAATCTTAACCATTTGAGAAATCAGTTATACTTCAATTAAAAAAAAACGCCTAGCTTGTCAAACAAAAAGCTGCTGAACGTGATGTTTTAGCATGTATTCTGAAAGTATGGCTTTATGTTATTCATTTGAGCCCTTAAATGTATTACCCTTTGCTCTTCTCTCTTAGGAAATTCACACAAATGAAAAGGAAGCAACCGAGAAGGAAGTAACTCTTCACTTGTTGCCAGGTAACAGTCTTGTTCGTGTCATACCTCCTCGTGTGCAATTCAAAGCCAGAGATAAATTATGTCATTTCTAGTAGCACTATTTATAAACTCCTTTGTTTTCATCCAGACCGAGTGTCACAATAATGAGTTGGACCAGAATATCAAGGTCTTTAGTTCAGTAACCGCACACCTGGGACTGAGTGTTACAACATCTGCAAAGAATTTTTGTTTCCCCCTCCCCACAGCAGATGAAAATAAAGGTGGGAAATTCTCACCTCTTTGTAAGCAAATGAGGTCTTTTTTTCAGTTGCCTTACTTGGCCCCATCAACTCTTCTGGTCCCCATCCGGAAGATCCTGGTCCCTTCTAGATCCTTACATCCCACCCTGGTGGGGCTTAACCAACTCCCCAACCCTGGGCTGCCAGGGCTTGCTGTTTGTCATCACCAAGGAGACTGGATTGGTTGGATTTTTTTCTTTTAGATGGAGGAGAGAGACTGTCTATAGTGTAAGTCGAGTTTTAATCATTTCTGAATTCAGAAACAAACTACTTGGTGGGGTAGCCTCTCCATATATGGGGCTGTCCTTTGAGTTGTGCATTCAGTTCTTCTGCTTTCTTTTTTCCCAGCTCTTTTCATAAGTAATTTTAGGTACATATCCCAAAACAATGAAGCCTCATTCTGGTTCTTTTAATTTTATTCCCTTTTATTGGGACAATATGAATATGCACAAGTGTCTGACTGATCCACCTTATTTGGTAAACATCAGAATCTCTAACTTAAAAAAAAAAATGTTTTTAAGTGTCAAAGGCTCTTCCCTATAAAAATGGCCTAAACTTCAATCCATATAACCTATTCTATTTCCTCTTCTTGGGCTACAGATTCGGAAGTTTACTTTTGTCTTCAGCTTAGTGTTAAGTACATTCTCGCATTCCCTGGATTCCTGACATCTCAGTGTGCAGCCCAGGGTTCCTAGATTAGATTAAGATCTTTCCCGGCTCGTGCCTCATATGACCCGAGACTCTGTCTGTCTGTACTGGTTGACGTCTGGCAGGGTCTCCAGTGCCTGCCATGGACCCATATGGCTTGCCTGGCCTTGGGAGAGCTTCACTATTAAAGCTGTTTCATTTATTATTTTTAAAGCAGTTTTACACCAGGGGTTGAAAGCACAGAATGCCTTGCTCACATGCCTTCTACCTTGAACTCAGCTAAGGCACTTTTTCTGAGACTATTTTAAACCCCAGTGAGGCCCTTCATTGTTTTCTTCAAGCCTGGTGGTTTGAAGACGCTGACCTGTAGAGGTTGGACCTGGTGACGGAGCCATCTTTCTGTATTTCTATTGTATTTAACAGCTTGGAAGAGAGAAGAAAACAAGGTGAAACGTTTTATGTGTCCCTTGATAGTCTTAGTATCTGAAATTCTTCTTTGTTTTCATATTGAAAGTTAGAATAGATGAATTTTGAGCCAAAGGGTAAATTTAAAGACATTGAAGGAAAAATCCAGAGGGAGATTTTAAGAAGATGGTTGCCTGTTGGATGAGGAGAAAATTATGTTTTTTCTTGTCACAAAGTATTTATACTTAGGTATTTTTTTTTTTTTTATACTTAGTTTTTCATTTCCCCTGTATCCTTCTTTTATTTTTCTATCCTTACCATCCAGCCGTCATGAGCCTCTCCACTTCCTGCCTATCCCTAAACCCTCATCTCTTTGACTGGAGACGGAAGTTGTCTCTCTCTGTCACCAGGAAATACAGCTCTCAAGCTGCTGGGCGTCTGCAGAGAGAGCAGGAAAGGTGACACAGTGAGAGGAAACACGCTCAGCGAAGAAAGAGAGGAAACAGGCTTTCTTTCCCACAAACCTCTGACCTCCGTTTTCCTCCCATCCTTGTCTGTGGAGCCAGACCGAGTGCGGCCATGCTGTACCCCCTGGGCCTGAGGAAGTTGCCTGAGAGCCCCGGGCCAGGCACACACCCGTCCTCTTTCCGGGGTGAGGAACGGGCACTCTCGCAGGAAGGGGAGCCCGAGAGCTACGTTCCAGAGCTTGCCAGCCAGCCCTTCCGGCTCTGCTCGCTTGGGTACCGCTTCTGCTCGGGTATAGAACGTCTGTTCGGGTTCAAGTAATAAAAGCACTAAGATCTGTGCCTGCCAGTGTAGCCTAGGTCATTCCTACCCATTTGGACATGTCCGTTATTCACGGTGAGAAGATAGAAGTGCCCCGTGTGAAGCTCTGTCTGAATCATTGCGATTTCCCTTCTCCTCGGGCCCCACTCTGCGTTGTCTCCCCCGAGGTTTAGCAGCTCCCCTGTGCTGTGTTGTGGCCTCTGTCTGTCTGTGCAGGAGCAGAGCCGGGGGAGCTTCTACTGCCTGCCTGAGGACTCTCAGGACGCGTTGTTTTGGTTTCCATCAGGTGAACAACTGCTGTGTGAAGCCAACACAGTCCTGAAGTGTGTCCAGGAAGATTCCTGTCAGCGTGGAATCTACGGGAGGCTTGTCTGCACAGACTTCAAGATTGCTTTCTTGGGCGACGATGAATCTGCCCCGGATAATGATGTGCGTGTGAGCTGCAACTGGCTGAGTTTGGGGTAGCACTGCCTTTGTGACCCCATTGTCTTTTTTTCCCAGCTTCTCAGAAACTTGCCCTTAATGCATGTAAACACAAAGGCCAGAGTCCTTCTCACCACTGACCTGCTCTTCCTCCTTGGGGATCTCCCTTCAGTGGGAGGACCACTCTGCAGTTCCACCAGTACCTCACATCATGCTGGCCTGCATTGGACCTCATAGGTTGACACCGTCAACTTTTTTAGTTTCTTCTGTATCTCAGCGTGGTACATATCACTCGGGGGAATCACAGCTCCCCAAGTACACTGGTTCCCCATGTTTTCTCTGTACTGAACTCTTCCTTAAATTTAGCACTAAGTTCAGTTATGAGACTGGTGCTGAATGCAGCACTTGAGTTTGGATTTGTGTTTGCTCTGCACCCAGCAGCAGCATTCTTGTGTAACACTTGTCCCCCTTATGAAGAGCGAGCAGAGGAGAGATAAGGAATGTCCGCGCCCCTCAGAGCACACTGTGCGGTCACTGAAGCCGGCCGGCCGGCCCTGGCAGCATCTCGCTGCCTCACACTGTGGGCCTCTGTGCTGCCACTGCGGTAACAGCCTAGTTCCTAGTCCTGCACAAAGGTAGCATTCGCAGAAATGTGACTCTCTTGGGGTTTTCTTCCTGCCCTCTCATAGCTCTGTCACTCACCTGTCCCTCATCTGCGTTTGGGTAGAAAAATCCAAACCTGCATGCCACCTCCCAGCACCTCTCAGCGCATGTGCAGCTGCCTGGCCTGTCGGCCTGGGAGCAGCACATGACTGACATGTCCCGCCTGGGTTTGAAAACGAGTGTTTGGAACATTTCTCACACACTTTGCTACTTCATTGTCCTTTTCCTCCGGATGTGACATTTCCCTGTTTGTTTAGGGCGTATACCTTTTCATTTATTTTTTCTTTAGTTTTATTGAGATAGAATTGACATATAACATTGTAGTAGTTTCAGATGTACAACATGATGAATCTGGGATATGTATATATTGTGAAATGATCATCACAATATGTTTAGTTAGCATCCATTTCCTCACATAGTTGTACAACTTTTTTCTTGTGGTGAGAACTTTTAAGATCTACCCTGTTAGTAACTTTCTAATGTACAATGCAGTCTTACTAACCATAGTCACCATGCTGTATGTTACATCTCCAGGACTTACTTATTTTATAATATAACCTAAATTTACCTTTTGACCACCTTCGCTCATTTCCCCCACCCACTTCTCATTTTTCTTAGTATGCAAGTTGGGGATAGTAATTCATTGTGCCTATAAATGTCTAACAGTGCCTAGCAAGGAATCACAGTTGTTTCCTTTTGAATTTTTTAGGAAACGCAGTTTAAGAATAAGGTCATAGGAGAAAATGACATTACCCTCCACTGTGTTGATCAGATTTATGGAGGTGAGTATCTGTTCCCCAGGCTTTGAATGTACAGCTTGTAATGATGGGTTGGTTTTGTTTTTTGGCCTTTTATAGTTTACTAAAATTTCTTCACCCATTTATCTTAAGATATCACCATATCTTATCTTAAGGATGATAAAACTGAGATGTGAAGTGGCTTATTTGAGGAGGAGCTTATTAGCTGGAGAAGCTTGGACTTAAATGTGAACTGTTCTTTCTAATACTCCACAATGCCATTACAGGCTAGGTGTTGGTCATATGTCAGTGTTAGCTATGCAAGTCTTACTTTAAAGGCTAACCTATAAAAGTCTGTTGTTCCACACTCAGCTGTCTCTTCTGCTGATTACACAAAGCCTCTCTTAGCATCACTTCTCTATTTTGGTAGTCAAGGCTTTGTGAGCAATTATTCAGTAGCCATTTATGGAGTTCCCAGCACCAGGATGTCCAAACTCAGGGTCAGGGTCAGGGTCAGGAGGGGCCCTAGCCATAAACCCGGGAGTCGACTGTCCCAGGTCAGGTCCCTGATGATCTCCCATCTTTTGTAGTCTCAGCTTTCAGAGCTGGGTTTTCTGCAGGAGTTGATTCTGCTGACAGTGGCAGGTCCATTTCGGTCTTGTACTTCCGCAGGAGGGGTGAGGAGCCCTGGCTGTTGCAGAGTCCCGGGCCCCTGCTGGGTGGGACAGGCCCCAGCCGGGTGGGGTGGGTGCTAATGGCTGCTGAGAAGATGGCGCCTTTCCTCTCACTTTTGAGAGGCCTCCTTGGAAGTTAACAGTCTACTTTGTTTCTTTAGCATTAACCTGTCTTATAGCGTGATTTCCCGTCTTGGTTTCATTGTTTTGCAGTGTTTGATGAGAAGAAAAAGACTCTCTTTGGACAGCTGAAGAAGTACCCTGAGAAACTCGTCATCCACTGTAAGGACCTCCGGGTATTCCACTTCTGTCTGAGGTACACAAAAGAAGAGGAAGTCAAAAGGGTAACTAGTCGCATGTGTTTTTAGGTTTTATTTCCCATCAGGTTTTCCCCACTTACTCAGTTCTCGCTTCCACTGCACGAAGGTTGAGGGGAGCCTTTCACTCTGTAAAGTTGAAATTGCTTATAATGTCATGTGCTTTGATTAGAATTGAGAGAGAACTTGGTAGACCGGGACAGTATTATTATGGCACATACTATGTTTAGTCCTTCGATTCATACCGTGTTTGTCCCCAGAGCCTTCAGAGGGTGGGAGGTGGGAAACCAGGGTCAGAAGGCAGTCAGGGAAGGGAAGATGGATGGAACAGCTAGAAGCAGTCCCCTTCTCCCACCCCGACAGCCTTTCCAAAAGCAGCGGCAGCGACCCCCAACTCCCGAATGAAGGAGTTGACATCCGAAAGGTCATGGTTGCATGTGGAGGGAGGTGGAGGTACATGGTCATGGGCAAAATGAGTCACCAAATGAGCCTGTGCTTTTGGTAACTTACTCAATCTGGTTGCTGCAGCAAATTGAGCTGTGTAACCGGGTGAACTGGTTACAGTGATTATTGTAAGTTCCAAGGTTTCTCTTAAGATATTGAAGGTCTCAAGACTTGCTACTGTCGTGGTAAATGCATCCAGGGAAGCCTTTAGCGAGAGGCCAGTTTATCTGTTGGCTTTGGCTACAGTGAGTTATTCGACATTCTTTTTAGATATCCCCTTGATCTTTCAGGTAGCACGGGAGTTTGGTTAGAATAATAAACATGACTCTGGTATCTGTTCTGAGCAGGAAAAAATGGTATAGATATGGAAAATTCCCTGAGAAGCAAGAAACTTCAATTTGAATGATGATTTTCATCATCTGTCCAAATATACTTTTGTTTGGAGCTTCAAACAAAAAGCATGGTAGATTGAATTCCTTATCTTCTAGAAAGAAAGAAAGTGAAGTCGCTCAGTCATGTCCAACTTTTTGCAACCGCATAGACTGTAGCCTGCCAGGCTCCTCTGTCCATGGGATTTTCCAGGCAAGAATACTGGAGTGGGTTGCCATTCCCTTTTCCAGGGGTATCTTCTTGACCCAGGGATTGAACCTGGGTCTCCTGCATTGCAGACAGACTCCTTACCGTCTGAGCCCCCAAGGGAAGTCTGTCTTCTAGAAGAAGATCCTTAAAGGCACGACACATAGATTGTAGTAGCTAAGTGTCTTGGTTATTATCTGAATCAGCTTTACATCTTTAGAAAGACTTCCCTGGTGGCTCAGACGGTAAGGAGTCTGCCTGCAAGGCAGGAGACCCGGGTTCAATCCCTGGGTCTGGAGTATCCCCTGGAGAAGGAAATGGCAACACACTCCAGTATTCTTGCCTGAAGAACTCCATGGACAGAGGAACCTGGCGAGCTACAGTCCATGGTGTTAAAAAGAGTCAGACACTGAGCGACTTCACTTTCTTTTACTTTACGTCTTTGACATGTCAGATTTTTGGAGTGTCTGAATATGGCACTTAAATTTTTTTTAGCACTTTGTCTTTGATAGATTATGTCTTAAAAATTACCCTAGAAATTCAGAGCTCTTAAAAAACCTGACAAAATAGTTAGCATTCTGTTTGTGGCCTTATTCCAAGAGATAGCATCACAGATACAGAGTTAACATGTTGCTCAGCGGAGCCCATGGGCATTATTAAAAACCTAGACAATTTGGGTCTTGTCTCTCAGTGTTTACTTGCCAAAAGCATGACTGTATCCATTACTTGGTTCTTTTCTAGATTGTCAGTGGCATAATTCATCATACCCAGGCCCCTAAACTGCTTAAACGATTGTTTCTGTTTTCCTACGCGACTGCAGCACGAAACAATCCAGGTAAGCTTTCATCCTCAGGTAGGCAGGACCCTTCTAGTTCCTACCTGCAGCTCGTGGGAGAAAACCCATCCATGGGTTTTTCCCCCATCTTCTCTAGCAATGGGTCACCTCTTACATGGGTGTTTGAATCAAATTTCTTTTTTTAAAGAAGGTTTCTGTTTCTTTCCCGTGATCTTTGTTGCTTTAACTTCTAGATTTGTTTGCTTTTTGTGAGGGATTATTTGATGGGTTCTTATAAAAGACTAAAATCAATAGATTGTCATTGGAAATGTGAGATTATAGAGAAAGAAAGTTGAGACAAGTTTAAAATCACCCTTTCTGTCCCTGGGTTCTTTTTTCCACTTTAATATATTTGATTTCGTTTCATAAGACCCTAAAAAATGTCTTGCATTCTAGAAAGTTTTTAAACAGCCAGAACATGCTTTGTAGCAAATATTTGGGGATGGGGAATGGAACACTTGTACAGAAGAGAGGACATCTGAAAACCAGTTTGGTTCGAAAACTTGAAATTCCAAATGTTCTCCATTTGGTTCCCTGAAAAAGAGAGCAATCTTTTTAGTAAGAAACTGTGGTCATCTGAATTAGCTATTAATAATGCCCAGTGTTGTGCAGTGTTTCCACAGATGTTTGTCTTCATCCTTCTCTGGATCTCTGGATCCCTCCGTCTGTTCACTTGCTCTTCCCGTTCCTTTTTTTTTTTTTTTTAATTCCAAATTAGTATTTTAATTTTTTTTCTTCCAGTTTTACTGAGATATAATTGACACAGCATGTATAAGTTTAAGGTGCACAGCATAATGATTTGATTTACATATGTCATGACATGATGCCCACAGTAATTTTAGTGAACATCCATCATCGTACATAGACATGATATTAAAGAAACAGAAAAATTTTTTCCATGTGGCGAGAACCCTTAGGACTTACTCTCTTTAACAGCTTCCATACATAAACGCACAACAGTGTTCATTTTATTCGTCATGTTGTACATTACGTCCCTATCTGCCCGTCACTCTGAACATGAAGTTGGTGTTGACCAATCCCGTGTGCCATGAGCCTTTCTTCAGGGACATAACATGTTCTACCTGCACATATCACGCTTTGTGGAATGCAGAGTTGCTTTGTCACCAACTTCTCACTTGGTAAATGTTTCTCAAATGCTTGCTATGGGTCAGGCACCCTGGAAATATGAACAGGACTAAATCTCTGCCCTCTAAGAATATCGAGTCTCGGAATTCCCCGGCGGTCCAGTAGTTAGGACACTGTGCTTCCACTGCAGGGGGGCCTGGGTTTAATCTCTGGTTGGGGAACTAGATCCTGAACGCCACGTGGCGCAGCCAGAGAAAGAAAGAAGAGCAACCAGTCCTAGTCTTGTGTGCTGTGGTGGAAGGGACCGGCCACGCTGGGGAAGGAGGGCTGTCAGAGGGCAAAGGCCAGGCCTGAGCTGCTGGTGGAGATTGTGGATTATCCGAAAGGCACTCAGGAGTGTTTGAGGCAGTGGGACTGGCTTGTGCAGAGATGAAAATATCTGGGAGAGCTGGCTGCATTTGGGGAACTGTGGTGATCTTGCAGAAAAGGTGTGAATTTCCAGGTCTGTCCCTCCTGAGTTCAAATCTTTGTCCAACTGCCTAGTAGCCTAGACCATGCGGATGGCACTTAACTCCTGGGGCCTCTGTTTTCTCATTTAAAAAACAGTAGTGTTAATGCTTCCCATGAAGGTTTTGAAGACTGTACGTTGTTAAATGCACGGCACATAGGGTGCAGTCATTGCCTGAGGGTTAATTGAGAGTATAACTGCTTATTCAGGGCAGAGTCTGCCCAGAGAATTACATTGACATGAAAATGTATTTAGCACTCCTAGTAGTCTGAGCCTAAAATTTGTGCCTTCATGTAGTAAGTTCCTGTCTGTGAACGATCTTTTCATGGTAGCAATACATGTACGTGCTGATTAGCTGGGCGCTGGCTGACAACAGCGCGTTGCAGTATGAGCTGTACAAAACACGACCTCTTCATTGATTGCTGTACTTCGTATAAACATTTATTGTGTCTACATGTGAAAATCGTACCGTTTTTAGGAGCTCTGCCTCTCCCTTGTATCCTGACTCTTGGTCTGGACCAGCACAGGACGATATCCCAGCTCCCCAGCAGATGTCAATCTCTGTGCCAAAACCCTTACCTTGACTGACCCTGGCAGTTTCATTACCTTATGGAGGTTTTTTGGTGCCAGAATGTCCAGGCTATGTAGCATCTTGTATTCTATCCAAATTCCAGCATCCTTCTCTTCTCCTTCCAGCCTCCTTTTTTTGATAAAGTAAAGGTTATAACTGAGAGATATAAGGGGACCAGTTAGTTTTTTTTATTGTGTAGGGGTTTGTAGAAATAGGTGCTTTGCAATCTGAACATCTTTCATTTTTCTCAGGTTTAATAATTCACAAATGTGCTTTGGCTGAAAGGTCCTAAATGTTTATGACATGGCATTTTAGGGAAGAACTTATCTGTGTTGCTAAGAAAATGACCTAGTATGCTTGAATAGGAATATTGGTATTACTTATGTCTGTGGGGAAGTTTATTTATATCTGTTAACTTTATGGAAAATTTTATGCTGCCTGGGTTTGAATTGCAGTTCTGCCATTGCCTAGCTATGTGACCTTGGACAAGTTAATTGACCTTTCTGTGCCACGTCTGAATGAAGGAAATAATATTGCCTACCCTAGAGGGTTGTGAGGATTGACTTACTACATGTAAGGTGCTCAAAATAGTGCCTGGCATCCTAAGTGCTATATAAGCTTCATTACTGTTGCTGTTTTTTAAAAATCATTGTTTGTATTATCATCCTTTGTACTATGATGTGGTTTTATTAAAAGGAGCAGGTGGGCATTTAATTTAATACTTTATTTTCCCCAGACAGCTTGCTTTTTAAAGATGTGCACAGGTTGGAACGAACTGATCTGTGTGACCACCCAAGGGTGTTTTGGCGCACGTCGCCCGCATCAGGCCGTGCTGTGGAGAGGACCACGGGCACACCTGCTGGGCTGCCTGAGCAGCACTCCTGGCCCCTTCCTCCTTGCAGGGAGTGGCAGGGTGAGGGGTGGAAGTGCCCATCACCGAGATGTGGCCCTTGGCCTATGGGCCCCGACCCTCAACGTGGCCATCTCCTTTGTCTGTGGCCTTCAGAAGCCAGGTGTCACACTGAGGACTCCTCTTCTTGGCAAGGAGGCTTCAGACTCAGGAATCTGACATGCTGTTCAAATGAGTTTGCCATCTTATGCACACATGGGTAGGGCTAAAAATATTTTATTATTTTAGCATTTGTGCCAAGCCAGTCTTTTAGTGCTTCACGGGATCTTTTTATGTTATATAAATTATCTCATGGTCAGATGACTGTAAATGGAGCTATAAATTACTTTTGCAAGGAATGGAACGAGAACAGCTCCTTTCCCCTGGTACAAAAAGACAGAGCCTCGCTCATAATTTTGGATGAATGACAGAGAGAAGGGAACAAGGTTAGGATGAAGCAGTGAGTTCATTCTGCAGGGATAAAAATGGGCTTTGTGGAGGAAGTTGGGGCCCAAGGAGCCACTTTCACAGCATTAGAACACCAGGGCTTCACAACAAGGTTTTACTGTCTCTTTCCATTTGTTTTGTAGCTACGGACCCCAAGAAGCACGCCATAATGTTTGACACACTTCAGGACTGGTTTCGGGAGCTGGAGCGGACCAAAGGCAACATGAAGTACAAGGCAGTGAGTGTCAATGAAGGCTATAAAGTCTGTGAGAGGTAAGCTCTTGGCACCATGCTTTTCTTTTTGACAGATTTGTTGAGATTGAATTCGCGTGCCGTACTGGTTCGTCCACGTGAAGTGTGTCGTGGTTTCCGGTACATTCACAGGGTTGTGCTGCCGTCTGTGCTCAGTTGCCCAGTCAGTCATGTCTGACTCCATGTGACCCCGTGGACTGTAGCCCACCAGGCCCCTCTGTCCATGGGATCTTCCAGGCAAGAATACTGGAGTGGGTTGCCATGCCCTCCTCAGTGGATCTTCCCGACCCAGGGATCCAACCTTTGTTTCTCCCATCTCCTGAAACCATCACCCTGGTCAGTTTTAGAACATTTTCCTCATCCCCAGGATATCCCCATATCCCCATCCTCCCTGCCCCAGCCCTAGACCACCGCTCATCCACTTTCTGTTTCTGCAGGTTTGCCTGTCCTCAGCAGTTCACATGAATGGAACCATGTAATATGTGGCCCTTGTGCCTGGCTTCTTTCACTTAACATAATGTTATCAAGGCTCATCCATGTCATAGCAGATATCAGAATTTCATTCTTTTATTACTGCTGAATAATATTTCATGGTATGGATATGCCATATTTTATTTATCTGTTCATTAGTTGAGGGGCATTGAATTGTTTTCACTTTTTGGCTTTTGTGAATATGCTGCTGTGAACATGAGTATAAGGTTTCATATGGACGTATTTGCAGTTCTCTCGGGTGTATTCCTAGGGGTAAAATTGCTGGGTCATATAGTAACTCTGCATTAAACCTTAAGAGGAACTGCCAGACCATTTTCCACAGCCACTGCACCATTTTTACACTCCTGTCCACAGCAATTGAGGGTTTCACTTTCTCCACATTGATACTGTGCTTTTTTAAGAAACCCTTAAGAGTAATGACAGTGTGTTAAAAGGTAATAAGTGCTTTCCTGGTGGCTCAGATGGTAAAGAATCTGTCTGCAGTGTAGGAGACCTGGGTTTGATCCCTGGGTGGGGAAGATCTTCTGGAGAAGGGAATGGCAATATTCTTGCCTGGAAAATCCCATGGACAGAGGGCTACAGTCCATGGGGTCACAGAGTCAGACACAACTGAGTGACTAATACTTTCATTTTCACTTCAAGTGCTATGAAGAGAAAAGTAGATCAGGCGAGGGGCTGGGGCGTGCTGGAGGTGTCGGTGGGAGGGTGGGTCAGGCAGAGGGGACAGCATGGGCGGAGGCCCTGAGGTGGGATTGAGTCCGGTGGTGTGAGGAACAGTGAGGGACCCAGGGGCTGGAGAGGACTGAGCAGGGGGCAGAGCGGTAGGGGGTGCGATCAGAGAGGAGAGGACCAGCTGGGTGCTGACGGCCGGGGAGGTTTCCAGAATTTAGAGCGCAGAGCGGAGGAGCTTGAGCAGAGAGGCGTGATGTGGTCTGACCTACATTTTTAAAGGATGACTCTGCGTCACCCTTTTTTTGGAAACTTGAATCTTATCATTTTGGAACACACTCCTCAACACCCTGCTAACAATTTCCAAAAATCTATTTTTCTAGAGTTTCCAAAAATCTATTTTTCTAGAGCATTTCGTATTCGTGGTTCTGAGGGGCCTTGTCAGCAGATCAGGTTTTTTTTAATTATTAATTTATTTATTTTAATTGGAGGCTAATTACGTTACAGTATTGGAGTGGTTTTTGTCATACACTGACATGAATCTGCCATGGACGTACATGTGTTCCCCATACTGAACCCCTCTCCCACCTCCCTCCCCATCCCATCCCTCTGGGTCATCCCAGTGCACCAGCCCTGAGCACCCTGTCTCATGCATCGAACCTGGACTGGCGATCTGTTTCACATATGGTAATATACATGTTTCAATGCTATTCTTTCAGATCATCCCACCCTCGCCTTCTCCCATAGAGTCCAAAAGTCTGTTCTTTACATCTGAGTCTCTTTTGCTGTGTCTCATATAAGGTCATCGTTGCCGTCTTTCTAAATTCCGTATTTATGCGTTAATGTGCTGTACTGGTGTTTTGTTTTGACTTTGATCAGTCTTAGACATTTATATGGTTAGCCCTCTCGTTACGGCACACACCAGGGTGATGGTGGGGCGGGGCCTGCAGGACAAGTGTGGGATCACACACACACCCCTCACGCCTCCTTGCCCCTCTTCCTCTCTTTACAGTCACAAAGCGTGTGAAGGGAAAGCTAGTTAGAAGGAGGTAAAAAACCCCTGCCCCTCAGAGGTGATGTTTTGTAATGTGATGTTGACAGTAAGAGAAGGCAGCCCTACTCCCAGGGTTGTTTTTTAAAATCCTGCCGCTTCCTGATTAGAGTCACTGGTGTTCGCATAGGTGTCATCACCGCAGAAATACACCAGGTAGAGAAGGTGGGCAGAGCAGTGTGTCGGGGTTGGGGAGGGGTTTCTAATTAGTGGTCAGCGGGGAGGATGGAGCCTGAGCAAGGTTTGGTGTGCAGAGCACTCAGTGCAAACACACTCCCCGAAACTGCCCCAGCCAGGCTCCCCTCCCCAACACCCCTTTTCTGCCCCATTAGAATGATACAGGAGAAGCTGTGCTTTGGTTCACACCTGGGCCACGCGGTAGCTGCCTGCATGGTCTTGCCCAGCCACTCTGGCCCCAGCGTCCGCGCTCCATGGAGCAGGTTGAGCAGGTGGACCCAGCAGGCTTCTCACTGTCCTCTCCCCTGCGTCAGTGCTCCTCACTGTGCACGACAGGGGAGATGAAACTTCTGACAGCTCCCCAAGGCCCTTCGTGGTTGGATTCCTGCCCAGCTCTCAGTTTTCCGTGCACCACCCCTCCAGCCCCCCTCCCCGACCCCTCCCGTGGGCCTTGCCGGTGTCGTCTCCTGTCTGGGACGCTCCTTTCACTTCGGGCTGCACAAATGAGTTACCTCCACATTGTCAGTCAGATCTCTGCTCAGGCGTCTCTTAGGGAGTCTTCCCAGGACTAGGCGAGGTCTTCTGGGAGGGCTTTCCTTGCACCATATGCCTGTCTCCCTGCAAGTCCTCTGGTTTTGAGTTTATTTTTATCTGTAGGAGCCTGGTGAGCTGCAGTCCGTGGGGCCACAGAGTCGGACACGACTGAGCACCTATTGCCATTTGATTCATGTTTGTTTCCGCAGCCCAGCAGTTCTGGGGAATCAAGGACACTGTCTTTATTCATCTCTCTACCCTCATTACCACGTACAGTGCCTGACTCATAAGACCCGCTCAGTAGATAGGGGCCAGCATGAGTTAACTGACGCAAGCCCCGGGGGTTAGAGGAGGGACCCCAGTCAGCTTGGGTGAGAATCAGGAGCTGAGGGCCTGCTTCGCCTTCTCCTGAACAGCCTTCCTCCTCCCACCTCCCTGAGAAGGCAGAGAAGGTCCCCAGCCCCAAACGGAGTGTGTGCCCAGGAGCTGAGAAGCTGACGCGGCCAAGGAAGACACTGCTGCCCTAGGGCTGTTGCTCTGGGGGTTCCCTCACCCCGGTACCTGAGAGGATCGTACAACTTTCCTTGAGGAAGTCAGCTTGTGTTTGGAGAGGCTCTTTACTTTGTCTTCAGAACTCATCCTAATGACAAAATGAGCACTCTCCAAGAAGGAGGGTGAGTTGCTTATAAATGCTGGCAGTCTAACGGCAGAGCCTCCGTAGAGCCACCTCAAGTTCACTGGGACAGGAGGGGATGTCACAGACCCCCCAGTGGTGCAGCTCCTTTTCTCAGTGACTGCATGCTAAGTCGCTTCAGTCATGTACGACTCCTTGATACCCCATGGACTGTAGTCCACCAGGCTCCTCTCTCCATGGGATTCTCCAGGCAAGAATACTGGAGTGGGTTGCCATTTCCTCCTCCAGGGAATCTTCCTGACCCAGGGATCAAACCCGCATCCCTTACGTGTCCTGTGTTGGCAGACAGGTTCTTTATCACTAGCGCCACCTGGGAATCCCCAGTGACTGCATGTAAACATGCTAGTACAGTGGATTCTGACATTTTCCCCCACTGTGGTGAAAGACTTTATAAGAAAAAATTAACTGGTTCACCAGCATTGTAAAGTACTCACCCTCACCATAGTAGGGGAGAGCATGTAGATTTTTAAAGCAGTGTGGCCCCACCTCATGGCCCCTGGGGAAGGAGCTAAGAACCTGCTCATAAACGAAGCCCATGGGTGATTCTCCTGAAAGGTTTGGGGAAAAGCAGTCTGTTTGTAAGTTACTGTCTAGGGCCATGCTTCTCATGGTTGACTGTGCGGCTCCATCACCTGGGAGCTGGTGAAATCATAGCTTCTGATTCTAGATGTCCAGGTGGGGCTGGAGAATCTGCTTCCTTCTAAGCACTGTCATCCCCTGTGTACCCCTGCTGTGCAGGAGCTTCTAGAACAACAGCTCTCATCATCTGTGCACCCTTGATGTGCAGGAGCTTCTGGAACAACAGCTCTCATCGTCTGTGCACCCCTGATGTGCAGAAGCTTCTGGAACAACAGCTCTCATCCCCTGTGCACTCCTGATGTGCAGAAGCTTCTAGAACAACAGCTCTCATCCCCTGTGCACACCTGATGTGCAGAAGCTTCTAGAACAACAGCTCTCATCCCCTGTGCACCCCTGCTGTGCAGGAGCTTCTAGAACAACAGCTCTCATCCCCTGTGCACCCCTGATGTGCAGAAGCTTCTAGAACAACAGCTCTCATCCTCTGTGCACACCTGATGTGCAGAAGCTTCTAGAACAACAGCCCTTATCCCCTGTGCACACCTGATGTGCAGAAGCTTCTGGAACAGCAGCTCTCATCCCCTGTGCGCCCTGGAGAGCTTTGCATCTCTGCTGTTCAGTAGTTCTGCGCGCATCCTGGATGCTGGGAGCCTTTCAGTCTTCCCGTGTGACCTTAACAGGCAGCTTGAGTTTGAAAGCTGTTGATCTATGAAGAGGTTTTTGCGTCAGTAACAGCACCTGAAGAAGCCCACCCACTCAGGCAGACCTGAAGGAAATACCCTGAACGCTTCAAAAATCTAAAAAGTCAAATAATTCTTCTAAGCTTTAATGGTTTGATGTGTGGATATCTTAGCCTCGACCTGTGGTTCTCAACCTGATTTTGCCTCACATATTATGGAAGCTTTGTTCTTTTTAATTACCGTTAAGAGTTGGGTTTTTTTTTAATGGAAAATTTCAAACAGTATAAAAGAGACTTTGATGAATTCTTTTTACTCATCACCCAACTTCAGCAGTTACTGACTCATGGCTAGTCTCTATGCCTCTAGCTACTCCACCCCCACCCCCACCCCCGCCCTTACTATTTTGAAATAAATCCTAGAGCTCATCATATTTCATTCATAAATATTTCAGTTTTACATCTTTAAGGATTAAGGACTTTTTATAAACATAATCATAAAACCATTATCACAATTTTCAAATAAGCTATAGACTCTAACACTGTTATCTTTTTCTTGCTTGTTTACTTGAAGAAACCAGGCCATTTGTCTGATCTTTTCCCTATAGTGTGGATTTGATGATTACATCACCATGGTGATGTTTAAACTCTTGCTTCATCCCCTATGAATTGATTAGATCTAATGACTTGATCCCATTCAAATTCTGATCTCTTCAACTCGGAAAATCCATCTTTCCCATGCCCTGGTACTTAAGAAACTTACTTCAAACTAGGGGTGTGCACCCAAACACCATCCGATCGTTTGCCATTGTAGTTTTTATACAATAGGCACCTTCTTCCTTCTTGTCCTTCCTTCAGGCTTTTTGAGTGAAAGCTGTTCATAGCTCCACAATGGTAGAACTCAGGAGGTCTTTTTAATAGAAACCTACATCTCCCAATTAGAGGAAGAGATAGTGTCCCTGTATGTCTCTGACCGCTGCAGCTCTGAACACCTAGCTCTGCTGCATCCTACTACTTAACAGGTCTGTTATTTTTAGAACCTAAATTTATTTTATTCTTTAGAAACTGAAGTCATACTGCTTGGGTCCCGGTTCCAGCTCCACGAATTCTTACTAGTTGTATAACCCGGAAAGGGCCTGAGTAGAGCTCTATTTCTTTATCTGTGAAATGGGAATGAATGCTAGTGCACATACCTCATAGTGTTAAGTGGGAGGGTTAAATGAATAATTCACGTTAAGTAATTAGAACAGTCTGACTTACGGTAAGCAGTTAAACATTGTCTGAGCACTTGATAAAATGTCTGGGCAGTAGTCATCATAATTATTGGTTTTCATGTTAGTCTGACTCAGATCAACACAGGTACGTATATTGTCTCTGTATGATGAGAAAGATCCCTCCCAGTTTCAGAATTCTTATACTCAGGAATTTAGAAAATTGGTATTGATGAACCTATTTGCAGGGCAAGAATGGAGACACAGATGTATAGAGAATGGACTTGTGGACACAGTGGGGGAAGGAGAGAGTGGGACAAGTGGAGGAAGAAGCATTGATGTATGTGTGCTACCATGCGTAAAGTAGGGAGCTAGTGAGAGGTTGTTGTGTAACATAGGGAGCCCAGCCTGATGCTCTATGATGGCCTAGAGGGGTGGGATGGGGGGAAGGGAGGGACGCTCAAGAGGGAGGGAATATTGTAACACAACTTTCCTCCCATTAAAAAAAAATTTTTTTAAAGAATTCATATACTGTTAGATATCAGGTGTTCAATTCCCTTCATTTTATACATGAGGCAACAGACCCAGAGAGGTGCGGTAACTTACCTAGGGTTACACAGAATCAGAGGCAGAGCTGGGATTTGAACTCAGATTCCTGACTGATTTGGACAGAGACAGTTTATCTGCACTAGTTCTTAACAGGGAGATACAGTCCATGTAAAGACCGTCTGCTCAACTTCCTGTGTTCATTGATGGTGAGCATTCATATTTAATGAAATAACTCCGGTACTAAAACTGATGACATCTCTTTCCTCTAGGTTGCCGGCATACTTTGTCGTCCCTGCCCCTCTTCTCGAAGAGGACATAGCGTTCTTCCAGGGTCGTGGCATACCAGTAAGTGCACCTGCAAACCCTGAAAGCTCGGGTTCTCATTGGTCCGTTCTGGCAGATTATCCTACTTAAAGCCCTTGGCTTTGGTATTAAACAGTTTGTCCTCAGCCTGAGAGCAATCTAAAAATACCTTCAGAATTCCCCCAGAGGAGCCCCTTCGACAGGAGGCTCCCGGAGGACAGAGTTCTGAAGTTTCCCCAGAGGCCCTGGGGCTCTTAGCAAAGACATCTTTAAAGAGCTTTAGGAAGATTTCAGGCCCAGCTGGTGTGGAAAGCCAGCCTAATTTAACATCTAAATTGTTTCGAGGCTGAACCGTCCCCTCCAAGGGTTGTAGGGTTTCAGATGCTTTTCTGTCTGTCTGTTAATCTTGAATGAGCATGGCTGAGTTCCCGCCCAGAGACAGCGTGGAGACTTACTTAGTTTTCACAGAACAGACTGGGCTGGGAGCCATATTTCACGTGTCGCTGATCAAAGAAAGCAAGACTCTGGCAGTTATTTCAGTTTCTAATTGGTGGTTGGGAGTGGCCAAGCCTGCAGGGAATTGAGTACAGAATGAGAATCACAGGTAAATGCTGGGCCGAGCACATGGCTGGCGCCCCACAGAGGTCACTCTTGTAATGGGAGGTGAGGTATCTCAGCAGCCGTCCCAGTCCCAGCAGTGCATGCAGGCTGGGCAGGCAATGAGTGTGATCCTTGCGATGAGCCGGAGACCCTCTGCCTGCATGAGGGGCTGCCTGCTCTTCTGTGCCGGCCTGTTTGTGCCATGTGAGAGCACGGGCCTGGTCTTACCAGGTGCCCAGACTTCTCAGGAGAAATCAGAGATATGGGTTTTTATGTGAGTGTTCCCTATTTCTAAATGTGTGCAGCTGTTTTCAGACTCTCTGGTTTCAGAACTCTTTACACTCCTGAAAAATCATTGAGCATGTCGAAGACTTTTTGTTTATGTGGTTGTATCTGTTGATATTTGCCATATTAGAAACTAAAACTGGAAAATTGTTTAATGTTTATTTTAGTAATAAACTCATTAGATGTTAACATAACTATTTCTATAATAAATAACTATATTGTCCAAAACAAAAAAGTAGGATAGTACTATTGTACGTTTTTGAAAATAGACAACTGCCTTCTTTTATCCCCTTTCCTTCATTCAGTCTGTTGCGGTGTGTTGGGTGTGGTTGAAGTGTATGAAGACAATCCAGCCTTACACAGATATGTATTTGGGAAAGGAAGGAGTATTTAATATCCTTGTCAGATAATATGATGGTACACAAAAAATTGATAAATGGTGGTTTTGTAAAGGTTAATTGCAGTAAAGAATCTGAAAACATAATCAATGAACTGCATTAAAATCCATTGGTCTGTCTTGTACTCTGAATAGATCTTAAAACATGCATGATTTAAAAAGCATAATACATTGGTCATTTAGAAAATATTAACTCACTAGGTTATGTTCAAATATTGACATGCTTTCTTAGATACAAATCACATTTGTTACTATAATCCCTGTCTCGTCAGAAAAGTCTTTGAATATTGGGAATTCATTCAACTAAAAAGGCAGAGACTAGTCTTCCAAAATTCTAATTTTTGCTGGAAAGTTCAGCTTTTATCATTGGCAACAAATTGTCAGTTGTTTTCTTTGTTGTTGTTCAGTCACTCAGTCATGTCTGACTCTTTGTGACCCCATGGACTGCATTACACCAGGCTTCCCCAGAACCTTCACCATCTCTCAGAGCTTGCTCAAACTCAAGTCCTTTGAGTCAGTGATGCCATCCAACCATCTCATCCTGTCGCCCCCTTCTCCTGCTGCCCTCAATCCTTCCCAGCATCAGGGTCTTTTCCATTGAGTCAGCTCTTTGCATCAGGTGGCCAAAGTATTATAGCTTCAGCTTCAGCGTTAGTCCTTCCAGTAAATATTCAGGGTTGACTTCCTTTAGGATTGACTGGTTTGATCTTCTTGCTGTCCAAGTGACTCTCAAGAGTCTCCTCCAGCACACAGTTCAAAAGCATCAATTCTTCAAAGCTCAGCCTTATTTGTGGTCCAACTCTCACATCCATACATGACTACTGGGAAAACCATAGCTTTGACTATCCAGACCTTTGTCAGCAAATTGATATCTCTGTTTTTTAATACACTGTCTAGGTTTGTCATAGCTTTTCTTCCAAGGAACAAGGAGCAGATATTTTCCTTAAAGTTGTTGGGTTTTGTTTTGTTTTTTTCTTCTAAAAATGAATGTCTGCCATATACCGAAGTCAGAACACCCCTAGTTTCTCTGTCATTCACTCTTTCAGTTCCATGAAGATAGTACCTAGCTAGCTCAGCTCTCAGGTCAGTCTCACGGGTGCTTTTCCCTGAGACAAACACTTCCATGGTTGGTTTCCACTCCATCACATAGAGTATAAAAGATATTAGTATTAAATATATTGTACACCATGGGGAATATAGCCAAAATTTTATAGTAAATATAAATGGCGTATAACCTTTAAAAATTATCTCTCTGTATTGTACATCTGTAACTTAATTTGGTACATCAGCTATACTTCAATTAAAAAGACCAAAAACAAAGGAGACTTAGCAAATAATGGGGGGATTTATCCCCTTTTTAAAATAAACAGGATCATCAAACTGATTCTTGTCTGTTGTCAAGTCCTTCATATGAAGAACCTGTGGCCATTTCCCAGACAGAAATTGTACAGATAGAAATTGTAATAGAGGAACTCATGTGTCTTCTGCTGAATTCCTATGAGAAGTCTCTCTGACCAAGAATGTTGCTTGCTTTCTATTTACTGTTTCAAATAGAGAAGGCCCTTTTGTGCCTGAGCTGAGAGGAGATGGTCACAGTTGAGCCCCAGTGGGGAAAATGATCTATGGTTGGCTGTTACCAAGAGCAGATTCTTCCTGCCCCGGGAGAGGAGATAAAGAGGATGAGAACACGTGAACCCCTAGAACCTGTCACCAGTCATGGCTAAGAGAGTCCCCCTCTCTCAGAGTGAGCCACACGCCCCAGCGGGCAGGAGTGCCTGGGCTGAGGGCAGAGTGTGACGCTGGAGAGGGGAGTAAAGGCAGCACAGGGCCTCAGGTTTCGCCTGTTGGAACACTGCTGCCTCGCCAGGAATCTCACAGGCTCTGGGCTCGCTTTGGCAGCTCATGAGGCGGCTCTGTGGCCCTCAGCGGCTCTGCCTCCGTGGCTGGCAGTCGGCTCCCGTGTCCGCAGTCCTGCCTTCCTCTCACCTTGGCACCTCCTCAGTCTCTCCACACAGATGTCCTGCGGGCACTAGACACCCAACACAGCCAGTACTAATTCACCATCTTCCTCTGAAACCCCAAGCCAGTCCCCCTTTCTGAGCGTAGAGCGGAGTGTTGCCTGGATTGCCTGCTCATTTCCAGCCCAGGCTGCCGCTGGCACTCCTGTGTATGGTTAATATTTACATTGCAGGTGACTCACAAGAGGATGCCCTCTCTGGACAGCTGAAATCCTCTGTTGACCTTTGACTTCTTGCCTAAAGGCTCGGTCAGCAGAGCAGGCTGGGCTTTCAGTTCAGTTCATTTCAGTCACTCAGTCGTGTCCGATTCTTTGCGACCCCATGAATCGAAGCACGCCAGGCCTCCCTGTCCAAACCCTTAATCAGACCTTTACACAGGCGAAAAATCCACAGCTGCTCCAACCAGCCTTCCTTCTCCTCCATTTCAGGTTCTACTGGCAGATTACATTACTTTGTCCCCAAATCACTTCTAATCTCCTTCTGGTCCTGTACAACAGAAGAAACAAATGAAACTCCCCCTGTCTCTAGAAAAATGCTTAAAACACTTGACTCTGTCACTTATGGGCAGTCACATGATTTCTTCCTCTGTTGCCCGCCCTTTGTTGTTCATTGAAATTCCCTTCTCCTGTGGTTTACCACATTCTGCTTCCTATTAGATTTGCAAATTTATTTCCCTTTTTGGAGTATAAAGCCCTCTGAAAGTAGACTACGTATCTTAGCCTTCTTTCCAGCTTCTCACAACCAAATTCAGTGTCTTGCATGTGCAAGTCTCTTATCAGTGTATGTTGAATAACCAGCTGTCCATTCTTTCTAGTTTGAACTTTCTGTAATGATGGGAGCTGCCCCCTTTTGACCATCCCGGTAGAGCAGGGCCTTCAGTCATTGCTGTGCTGTGTGCAACTTGGGAAAGTTTCTCAGCCTCTCCATCCCTGTTTCTTGTTGTTAGTGGGGCTAGTACTCATACCGTCTGAGTGTGGTTGTAAGAATCAAATGACTTCACTCATGTAAAATCCTGAAATAATGAGCTTTACCCCAGCAATAGCTTCTAAGATTATAGTAATAATAGCATCTATTATAATAATAGTAACAGTAATGATGATGATGATTTTATCATCCTCCTCCAGGTTCCCAGCACTAAAGCCAAGTCATAAGGTATACGTTAGACCATCAGTGAGTCTGAATGTGACTGCTTAGACTTGAGGTGGTGGTGGTGTTGTTAATACTAAATCAGTCTTTTTTGTTGTGAGTATAACACATTGATTCCTTGGCATCACAGAGTTGCTTGTATTCAGGTCTTTCATATTGAAGGTGTAATTTCCCTGTATGAATTTCATGGCTAAGCTTACCTGCCCTCTGTAAAGTGGTTTACATCATGTCTGGAAAACCTTCCTTCTCTTCTGCAGATATGGTGTTGGTCCTGCCACAACGGATGCGCCCTCTTGAAAATGTCGGCCCTGCCCAAAGAACAGGATGACGGCATGTTGCAGATCCAGAAGAACTTCGTGGATAGGTCAGCACTGTTGCACATCTTGTTATCGTTTAGTTGGCTTTGTGGTTTTCCGGGAAGCTGGGAACAGTTCTTGGGAGTAAGTCCATTTCAGTTTACCTACTGTTAAAGCCCTCGAGTGCCAGGAATACAGCTCAGCAAGGTTGTTTTTAAATTGAAAAAGAGTCAGGATGACATGGTCCTGAAGTGCATAAACTGCATTGTATTGAGAGACACATGGCAGAAGCATTTAGGGGGAAGCAGTCTGATAGCTTTAATATTGACAGTTGTGAAATTTGGGTCAAGGTATAGATGTCACTGTGCTATTCTTTTCTGGCATGTTTGAAATTTTTCAAAATAAAAAAGTTAACCGTTTTTATTCACCCCTAAACTGGATGAGTTTAAAAACAAGAAAAGGAGTGGACTTAGGAGTTAAATTGCCTTGGTTCACATCCTGGCTCTTTCAGCTTATAAACTTGGTGGTTCTGCTCCTTGTCCCTGAGTTCCTGTCTCCGGTTGACCAGGAGTGGCCGCTGGGAGCAGTTACTTCACTGGGGAGGAGTCGGTGGGAGCTCTGCACACAGATCCTGGCACCTAGGAAGTGCTCAGGAGAAACAAACTTTCTGACTCAGGCCTGCTCTTCTAATCTCTCATTCCTTTCTGATACCTAGGATTTACAAGACTGTCCACAGGCCCCCCTATGAGACTGCTAAAACTGAAGACCTCTCAAGCAACTTCCTGTCCCTGCAGGAAATCCAGATGGCTTACTCTAAGTTCAAACAGCTGTTTCTGATAGGTGAGAAGAACACTGAGCCAAAACTCGCTGTCACCTGGAAAAAGACATGCTGCATGGCTCGGGTGAAAGGCGATGCCTTGTCCCTGGGTTCCTCATGGTTGGACACGGCTGTGGGGGTAGGGGTCACAGAACAGAGGGGCTGGTTACCATGGGGTGGGCGGCCCTGGCCACACTTCCTCCCACCGTTTTCCCCTGGGCTTTTGTCCCATTGCCCCTTCTCAGAGCAATGAACACAGAGCCACCCTTCTCCTCTCTTCCTTCCCTAGCAGTGAGCTTTGGGCTTCACCCTTTAGAAGTTGTAGAACTATGCAGTACCGGTATTCCCCAGTCAGTCACCTGTTGATTCTTTTCGCTCCTTTTTTTCTGGTGGCACCACGTGGCTTATGGGATCTAGTTCCCCAACCAGGGATTGAACCCAGGCCTGCAGCAGTGAAAGCGCTGAGTCCTAACCACTGTACTGCCAGGGAATTCCCTATTATCTTCACTCTTTTTTTTAAAAAAAGATATTTTATTCATTAATTTATGTGTCAAGCTGCACTGGGTCTTAGTTGCAGCACACAGGATCTCCGATGTTCTTTGTAGCATGTGAAATCTTTTAGTTGTGCCATGCAGACTCTTAACTGAGGCGTGCAGACTCTGTAGTTGCAACATGTGGGATCTAGTTCCCTGACCAGGGATCGAACCCAGGCCCCCTTCATTGGGAAGGATGAGTCTTAGCCACTGGACCACCAGGGAAGTTCCCTCCCTTCACTCTTTTTTTCAAATGTATGTGTTTTTAATTGAAGGATAATTGCTTTACAATATTGTGTTAGTTTTTGCCATACATCAACATGTATCAGCCGTTGACACACATATGTCCCCCCTCTCTTTACTCTTGAATGCCTGTTTACCCTCTGAGATTCGTCACGCTTATTGGCAGTTTCCCAGCTTTTCCTTTTTAGCCTAGTGGTCTAACTTAGGATTTACTCAGTCATTCAGCCAAGGTGTGTTGCATTTGCATTATACACACCAGCTATGCCAGGCATTGGAGACAAAGATGACTGTGACACCAAGGGAAACCAGTGTGCCCCTCTAACTGGAACACACAGAAAGGAGAAGTAAGAAATTGCATTGGTTTATCCAGGACTGTTATTCTCCACTTCTTTTGTGACCATCCAGTACTGGCAGGGGTATCTGCCTTCTCACTGATTTGAGTTTGCAACTTTCACATGCCATAGACTTATGCAGCGCTTCTGTCTCCAGTTGGGTTGGGAGGTTGTGTCCAGTGTGCAGGATAATGTGTGTGTGTTTAAGACTCCAGTGGAAGCTAGCTCTCCCTTCAAGTTTCCACGGCATCAGGACATGGCCTGTTGCATCTTCTGCTTCTAAGAGCAGCAGGCTGAATGTTGACTGTGTCTGCCTAAAGCATGTTTCTCTCCTTGTCGAGTTACAGAATGACTGTGGCTTGGTAGACAGATTGTAGGGCACTTTTTTACTTGTGCAAAAAAAGTCTGGTTTTGACTACCACACCCTTCTAGAGATTTACAGTTCAAAAGCCACTTCAGCTGAAGGCTTGAAATGCGCTTTACTTAAACGGAGCAGGGCCATGCCAATGAGCAGCACAGGTTCTCCAGCGGCGTGTCAGCAAACAGTGCACGACTTCTTCACTCTGTTTCTTTTCTTTTCAGATAACAGTACTGAATTTTGGGACACAGACATCAAATGGTTTTCCCTGCTGGAAAGTAGCAGCTGGCTGGACATAATCAGGTATTCCAAGGCGTTGTTTTGCTCGTAAATTTCACAGTTCCTTAAACCAAAGTAGTAAAGCAAACTGACAAATAATTTAACTGTTTTCTTTTTCACAGTTAAATATTCTAGGTCACATGTTCTGTTCAGGGCTCAGCTGAATTTTACATTCGTTATTTATTGTTTCTGTGCATGTCTGATCAGAATTTACGAATATGCTACCTGCCCACACAGATCTGCTCCTGAGACTACGGACCAGGGATGGGAAGGCTGCATAAAAGGGGGTGTGGGACCCCAGCATTCTAATTGAACTGCAGTGCTCACCTCCAGGGAGGAGGCTGGGGGTTGGGAAGGTGGGGAATGCTGAGTTTTTTGGTTTTGTTTTTATTTGGTGGTGGGGGGGTGGTGCTGACAATCAGGGATTTAACCTGCATCCTTGCAATAAAAGTACGGAGTCCTAACCACTAGATGGCAAGGGAATTCCCAGATGCTGAGTTTTTATTGAATACTTTTTTAGAAGAATTCTCTTTTATGTCTCTTACATAATAAATTTATTTTTAGTATAATGAATGCCAATTAGTCTTTTTCATTTGGGGGATTAAGTAGAGATTCTGAGAGAACAAAACTTTATTCCCTGTCCTACTTCCTGTTTTGAATAGCTTCTCTCCATTGCCCTTAAACAGAGGCGAGGGCAGAGGGAGGCACAGAACAGGCACGATGCTGGGGTGAGAGCCAGTGAGAGAATGGCTCCAGCCCTGGGGCACCGCTGAGGACAGGGCAGGCCCCTCTCTCCCCTCGCTCTGCGTTCTCCCTTAGACCTGCCTGGTTTGTACAGAGGAGCCGCAGGCCTCCAGACCCTTCTTAGCAAATAGGTTTTGACGAGCCTGCTGCATGTCCCATAATTTGAATATATAATTGCAAGTATTGTGATAGATACTGTAAAATAATAGGCCCTTTCTTTCTGTGGGGCTTGTAGAGAAGGTGTGCGTCCATAACTGGGTAAAGAGCCTGGGGGAGGCACCCCCGAGGCAGGGTTATCAGTCCAGAAGGTGGAGCTGCTGATGATGGCAGGAGTTTCAAAGGGAATAGTATATCTAGAGAGACAAAGGGATTTGGGGGCACAGTGGGCCTTTCCAGATAGGCAGATCCATTTAGCCAATGATCTTGAATTAAACAAAATCAGCCTGTAGCACAGCCTCCAGATATAGACATTTTAGGGTCTTACTAGGACTCACTGCCACACTCAGGTATAAATCTGCAGTAAGAATTCCCAGTTTAGGAATCACCTAAGAGCATTTTTTTTACATCCAACTTTGGAATTCCCTTCTGAAAATTATAAGTTTCTAATAGGCAGATGAATGTTTTGCAGTACCTGAATAGTATAAACAATAATTTGTTTCTTTTCTGGAGAATTTTAGTATAACACAGTAAATGAGATGGAATACTGAAGATCAAGTTAGACCACCTCTAAATTTCTTGTTGTTCACGATAACAAGCTCAAGATCTAATATCTGTTTTACTTGTCTCTCTCCTATATAGGCGCTGCCTGAAAAAAGCAGTAGAGATTATAGAATGTCTAGAAGCCCAAAACATGAACGTTCTTCTTTTAGGTAATACATTTAAAGCACAAAGGGTGGTTTCCTTTTTCTTCTACTTGGGGTTCTGTTTTTGTATATAGAGATTTATGTAAGTGGAATTGTCTTGTAAAAGGAATGAGCTAGTGTAGAAATCCTTCCCATACTTTTTACCCTGACCTTGGAATCCTTGCCTTGGATTTCATTGTTACAGTTTAAAAATAAATTCCTTCACTTGGAACTTGGCAGACGTATTCGCAGCCCAAGAAGGAATTGTTTGGTATCTTTACCAAAGCTCACATTTCCTGATATTTTGGGGTTTTGTTTTATACTAACTCAGTTAAAGTTTGGATGACCTTTTTTGTATGAAGAGACCCATGGATGGTTTAATTCTTATTTCTACATCTTTGTGTCTGACAGCTTTGTGCAGTTGTTGTAGAAACTGTGTGGTCCACGATTTCCTTTTCCTCAGTGGACTGAAGCTGCTGTACATGTGGACCGGACATACACGCCCAGAATGTATAAGCCTCGCGCAACAAAGATTGTTGCTGGGATTGGTTAGATCTGAGCTAAATTATTAACTGCCATTTTGAATATTTAAAGTTTCTCATGGCCCCATGCTTTAAGCAGAGTGTCTCATGCTTCCACACCCTCAAGCTTTTGTCATTTTTCTGACACCCCCTTGGAGAGTGTCAGACTCCTGGGACTTAGTTTCTGTGAGCAGACCGGAAATGTGTCAGCCTGTGGCTTCTGTACCCTCTGACTTAAATTTTAACACGCGGACTGAACACTCCTACATATGGAGCTCTATGCTGCTGCCTTCTAGAAGTTTACACCCTATTGAGTTTGAGAGAGAGCGGCATAAGGGTGTTATTGAAAAAGATGTGGTTAACAGCAGCCGAGCAGAGTATCGAGTAACTGGTGAAAAGGAGGGATAAAGACTGGGGGGTTCACCAGCCCAGGTTGGGTGCATGAGACAAGTGCTCGGGCCTGGTGCACTGGGAAGACCCAGAGGGATTGGGTGGAGAGGGAGGTGGGAGGGGGGACCGGGATGGGGAATACATGTAAAAAAAAAAAAAAAGATACACTATGGTTGTGATAAAAAAAAAATAAATAAATAAATTAAAAAATAAATAAATAAATAAAAGACTGGGGGGGCTGAGAAGTGCAAGTACCCAGGTCAGACTGCACAACCCCAGAGGTGCGCAGAGTGAAATGAGAATGGTCAGCGGATGAGGCTGAGCTGTGCGTCATTCCCTGACGGATGGCGGAGCTGTGTCTTCTCTGAAATTTTACTCTCTAGCCACTCTTCCTGGGACTTGTAGGTGTACTGATAACATACTTCATACGCAAGAAGGAAGATTCTCTTGAAAACTGAAACTTGTTTCTAAAGAAAGACGAATATAAAAATCTGTTTCTTCTGAACCCTTGTGTTCCCATAGTTTAGACTTATTTTCCTGGAGGAGATATAGGAGCATAGTAAGCCTGGTCGTGGAGTGCTTCCTGGTCTTGGGGTCACAGGAGAGGTTAACAGTGCAAATGACTCCCTACTTAGGATTCATTCTGAAGTTTGTCTAACCCTGTGACTACCAGAACCATCGTCCTCATGCATGTTTTAAAATAGCAACTTGAGTGGCACTTCTTTTCATAAAGTAGAAACTACAAGGATGTAGACCTTGACTTTCAGGACTGTAAAACTCTTAAGACAAATGCCCAGATATAGACGTATGTTGCTATTTGCTGTGAGTGATGGATGGTGAACAAGGATATGAGCGGAGTTTTCATCATGTGACTTTTGTACCATCGCCCGAGGGGTGGACACATGGCTTATACGTAACCAGCGAGAGTTTCCCCTCTAGGCTAGGCAGGCCCCTCCATGCTCTCAGACAAAAATGGACGGAGCCATGGAGCTGACCATCAGAGAACATTTTGGTGCAATCCAGGAATGTCACCCTTTCTCCAAAGCAGAGATAGTGGAGGAAAGGTGGCTGAGAGGCAGCTGAACCGTGAAACAGTGAGTTCAGGGATGCGATCCTGACGCCCCAGCTGAAAGGGTTTTAAACTTGGTCTATGGAGCCCAACAAGCCGCCATACCTGTGCCCTTATTGTGTGGTGCATCTGACCCCCCCGCATGCTGACACTGGGTTTGCTGCATTGGATCTGTTCACCAGTAAGGAGTCCATCGTTAATGCCAGTGTGCGCTGGAGCCGGTGCCAGCCAGGCCAGAGGCGTTAGTCTCTCAAGCTGAACACGTTACCTCCTGCCACCAGTGGCCCAGCCTTTTTGGGAATTAGAACTTGACTGCCGGGATAGATGTAGGTGTGGGGGCCCTGCCTTCGCCTGCACCCTCCGTAGCTCTTGTAACACTTGGTCCCCTCTTTCCTCCCTGCGCTGTTGCCCGGCAACCCCCCGCCCCACCCACCGCAGAGGACCACGCCTCCGACCTCTGCTGCCTCGTTTCTTCTCTGGTGCAAGTGATGATGGACCCCCACTGTCGAACCATTTTCGGTTTCCAGAGCCTTGTCCAAAAGGAGTGGATCATGGGTGGGCACTGCTTCCTGGACCGCTGCAACCACCTCCGTCAGAGCGACAAGGAGGAGGTGAGTGTCCTCGGCGCAGACCTGGGCAGCCTTGAGGATGCGGAGCCCTGTCTCTGCACGGCGCACACCTTAGGAGCTTGTCAGGAAGGCGAGGACAGGTCACTGGTCAGTGACTCTGAGTGATCTAAACACTGGAAACCCTTCCCAGGGAAAAGGGATGTTCATTAGCAAGTGTGTTCGGAGCCTTCTCTTCTAAACTGTGTGTCCCAAGGGTGTATTATAGTTCATGGTGGAAGTGATGTTGACTTGTAAAACTTAAATAAAAATGAACTCGGTGGAACTCCCACAATTTCTGCTAAGTTAGTCTTGGCGAAAAAATAAATAGGGTACATGTTTCCATACAAAATAACACATAATAACCAGAAAATACGTAATGATACATAAAAATACAAATACAAAATTACAAAATACATAATAACAAAATACATAATAACACAAAGTAAATTTCCCTTGCAATAAACCCTTTCAAAATAAAGCCCAGGGTTATGTGAATGCTGTCCATTTCCCGGGCCTTCGCCATGATAGCTACAGGCCTGGGCTTCTGAATTTAAGCGCTGGAGAGATAGTGAGACAGTTTTAGTGAAAACGAGCCCCCCCACCCCTCAAGTAGGATGTACTTGTCTCAGTTATAACTGTACCAACTGCTTTGACTGCATTGTTAACGACCATGGACGAAAAAATGAAAAATCACCTGCAGAGCTAACATATGCTAGCAGGGCGACTGGTGGTTTTTCTTCCCCCAGATAATAGGCATGTCTGTCTGCGGTGCTGGACAGCTTGACACAGCGACTCTGGAAACAGCTGAGGTTTCTGCCCGTAAGGGCTTGGTGTGTCCTGGGAGACCAGGCCGCTCTTGCTGGGTCTGCACATTTCTCTGAGGCCTGCTCTGTACTCATCTGTGTCCCATCAGGTTGATGGTGAATATGCATCACCATCGTTCAGTCTTGGAAGGGACTTGCCTTTCTGAGAAACTAATTTGAAAGGTCGCTGGCACTCACCAGAGAGTTGGTACTGTGTCGGGAAGAGGGTGTTTTTGCACATCTTGTGTAGTCTGTGTATCTTGAGAGCAGGGAGACGGACGGGCACCGTGTCTAAAGGGGAAGGAGCCCCAGAGCAGATCCGCCTGCTCGCCCAGGGCTGGGAGGAGTCACCTGTACTTTCTGAGCCCACTTCCCTGACTGTGCTATGAGATTCAGATATTTTCCACTCTGGTCTAATGCCACTGAATGTAACATGACATGTGAGATAAAGCTGCCACGTAGACCTTTCTTCGCATCTCAACATCGACACCCTGGAGTTTTGACGGAAAACTGGGTGGTCCAGTTTGTGATGTAATTGACGCAGCCTGGGACTGAGTCAAGAGCTGGACTGCCAGCTCCCGCCTCTCAGGAGCTGCGTGTGAGACCTCAGCCGGGCCCGGGAGTGGAGAGGCCGAGACGTAGTCTGCCTTGTCCACCTTACAGGGTCACTGGTGACTGGAGGAGGAGCGCTGGGGAACAACAGGGTGCCCTCAGAAGCTCCACTGAGAAAGAGCTTGCCTCTGAAGCTAATAAAAGAGGCCACCGATGAAAAAAATGCATTTGTGACAAATGTTAGAAACTCATTTTTGCCACTTCTGCTTTCTCTCCCATCCTGTTTCTCTTCTGAGCCCTCATTGTCAGGGCGCTGTGCATGGTCGCTCAGTCTTTGTTACCCCATGGACTATAGCCCACCAGGCTCCTCTGTCCATGGGGATTCTCCAGGCCAGAATACTGGAGTGGGTAGCCTTTCCCTTCTCCAGGGGATCTTCCCGACCCAGAGATCAAACCCAGGTCTCCCACATTGCAGGCAGATTCTTGAGGAGATTTTCCTTCTTCATCTCCGGAATGTCTTTCACTTAGGGAGCTACTGCCGAGTCCTGAGGTTAATCCAAGGGGTGTGTGGGTTTTCAGGCAAGCACGTTTATCTCTGGGGTTGGGATGCAGTTGGGAATGGCAGTCACCTGGAGTGTGCTTCCCAGAGCATGCAGTGCCCAGGAGAGGCTACTCCACGGCTGTCGAGGTGGCTGCCCTGTACCCGGGACCCCTGGCTCCGGACCGCTGGCACCCCTCCATCACATGTGTCTTGTCTTCACGCAGGCGCCCGTGTTCCTGCTCTTCTTGGACTGCGTGTGGCAGCTGGTGCACCAGCACCCCCCAGCGTTTGAGTTCACGGAGACGTACCTGACCGTTTTGTCGGACAGCCTGTACATACCTATTTTTAGCACTTTCTTCTTCAATTCGCCTCATCAAAAAGATATGAACATGGTAAGAGTCACTCTTAGGAACCTGTGTATTGAAGAAGCCGTGTCTAACAAATAGGATGTAAGAGGAGTGATGATGAAAATGATATTTTCTTTATAACAGTGATTACGCAGAGGGCCCTGTTCTGAGCACTCTCCGAGTATTGATATGTAATCCTCAAGTCCGAATTACTGTTATCTCTGAGAGTGAGTCACTGAGACAGTGAGGCAGTCGCCCTGGGTCACAGGGTAAATATCGGGGCTGGGAGCCAGTGTGAGAGCTGGGGATTAAGCACATTAAAAGTAGTCCTTGTGAACAGATCAGATGCCTTCTCTTCCACTTGATGGATGCCTGGAGTGACTCAGAAGAGAGTGGAGGCCGCCCAGGAGAGCTGGGCTTTCACTCTCCGCCTTAAACATCTTCATAGTCTCCCTTGAGGCCCTCCTCCCGAGGCTTCAACCCTGCGCCATCAGGGCTCCGACCAGCCCTTTGGGCACCTGGGGTTTGCTGGAGCTGCCTTCCAGGTGGACCTCGCCACATCTCACGGGGAGTGGGAAGCAGCGCCCGGGCCTCCAGTCACACAGCCTTGCTGCTCACCAGCCTCACGGCCTCAGGTGGTTCACTCCCGTTTTCCCAGCCTCCATTTCCCCAAAGGTAAATTGGAAAACTAGGAGCGACCTCCTGGGGGTGTGGTGAGCGTGTGCAGCCCAGTGGCCGGCGCAAGTTCTGGGAGTGACGTGTCCTGCCTCCTCCCCACCTAAAGCCATCGGTGAGCGACCACCGACGGCCGCAGCCTTCCCGTGCGGTGCCGCGGAGGCGAGGTCTCAGGGCAGGCCGGCTGCGCCGTCCTGGAGCCTGTCTCTCGGCACTGTCTGCTCTCCTCAGCCCTCCCTGCAAACACTGTGACCTCTGCTTGTTTTGGCAGGGCAGGGAGAGCCAGGACTCACAAAGCAAGCCTTTGAATCTGCTCACCGTGTGGGACTGGTCCGTGCAGTTTGAACCCAAAGCCCAGACGTTGCTCACAAACCCTCTTTACGTGGAGAAGCCAAAACTGGAGAAAGCCCAGCGGAAAGGAACGCATTTCAAAGTAAGATTTGTGCGTGTGTAACCCCCTTGTCTGTGCAGAGATCTCCTTGTCTGGAAGGATTACATTTAACCTGTGGATTCTGGGCACAGTCTCAGAGTCAAGACTGTGATGGGCAGGTTGTCAGGGCCCCTGAGAATCCTTGCCTTCGGCAGATGCACATTTGTCCTGAGTGTCACTGGGGGTGCCGCAGGGAATCGAGGGTCTCAGCCCTGCCCAAGTGTGATTGATATGGCCGAGGGAACGCTGATCACAGTGTGGGTTTATGTCATCTGTACCAGTTCAAGTCTTCACTAACAAGGCCTCTCTTCGTGCTAAAAATGGTGTTTGTGACTGACATGTTCTGTCAGGGGCCACAGAGCTCTGGCACAACCACCTCCCCCCCATTCTGTTGGAGCTGGAAGACAGCCATGGGCACCATGTGAGCCGACGGGCCTGGCTGTGTTCCAGTATTTAAGAGGCTGGCACGGACCAGAGTGGGCCCGTGGGCTGTTATTTGCAGACCTGGGCTTAAATGACAAGCATCAAATTATTTGGGTTTCCCTTTAGATATTTGTTCCTGATTTTACTAGTTATTAAAACTCCGACATTGCCTAGATGTTGTATGATGTACATGGCATTTCTTATTCTTTCTCCTGACTTGGGAGCCCCCCCACAAAGAGGAGAGCAGGGTAGTCAGTTATGGTCACTCGCAAGTCAGAGCATGTCACTGCCTACTCCACCGCCATCTTTCTGATTCAGAAGTCCTGCGGGGCTCCTAGGAGCCTGGCCAGTTCTGGTGCGGGAGATGGCTCCATTCTAAAGGGGCTTGGGGACCCATGAGCCAATGCCAGCACTCACAGAAGGTGCCTCTGCTGGCTGCCGCTTCACCCCTCCGAGGGTCCTCAGGCCCTGCCTGGGTGTTAGCGCTCCTGGTCCAACCTCTGTCCTGTCTGCGGGGCCAGGACCGCCCTGTGCTCCAGCACAGCCGGGCCAGACAGAGGTCGGTTTTGCCGGTGAGCTGTGCCCCCTGGTGGCTGCACACACACCTCCCGCCGGGTCAGGACCGCCCAGCTGCCCCCACCAGAGGGGCAAGGGCCCTCAGAGGTCTGAGGGAGGAAGTGGAAGCTCTACCTGTAAGGCCTTTTCTCTGCCCAGGCCCCTTTTCTCTGAGGGTCCCTTCTTGTAGGTGGGAGTGGAGAACCTGAGGGCCCAGGTTCCAGGAGCTGGCCCGTGGGAGAGGCTTGAGCTGCAGGTCAGGGCATCTGAGGGCCAGCACTGGGCTGACGAGAACCTTTGAGGCCGTTGGGTGAGGAGTCCTGGAGTCAGGCTTGGGGCCTCTTGTTGGGGGACAGGCAGCCTTGGAGACATTCTGTAGAGACCAGAGAGCCATAGCCAACCACGGCTGCCCTGGGAATTACCCCTCCAGACCACGGTGTCCGCTCAGTGTGGGGTCCCAGCCGCAGCCCCTGGTCTGGACCAGGCTACGGGGACACAGTGCTGCCCCCACCTGGCCTGTCCGGAGCTCTCCATTCACTTTGGGCTTTAGAGGAGGGCTTCCAAGGCACGGAGGGCTCTGTTAAAGAGTCCGGGCTCCCTCCGGAGCCAGACGGTGTGAAACCACACCTGGCACCTGGTAGCTGGGGCCTTTGCGGTTGGCTTAACCACTGCGCCTTAGTTTTCTCATGTGTCAAATGGGGCCGTAATGGTGACTCCTTACCAATAATGGGTGAGTGGTTGCATGTTAAGCTCTGAGCATGGAACCCGGCAGGCGGTGACGGTCCCACCTGCTTCCCTTCCCCTGACTCACCTGGGTCACTGGGCAGAAGAGGCCGGCCCCCAACTCTGCTGCCCCCAGGTGGCAAGTCAGAAATCCTGGTCATCTCTGACTTGGGGTGTTGTAAATGGTTTTGCTTTCTACGTTATATTTTTATTGTTTGTTCTACACTTCTTAATAAGGACGAACCACTGGTAGGAACATGTTACAGAGGCCTAGCCCCAAAATAAAACTTCTGTCTCTTCTTATTTCACATGACACCTCAGGAGCAAAAGAGATGGGGAGAAACAGCTCCTCAGATTTTTACCTTTATCTTCAGGCACCAAGGATCTGTTGCAACTGTCCTGACCATCCTTATAGCCCTCTCTCACTGCATCCCAAAATATAGCACCTAGCTTTGGCTGCAGATCAGATTCCTGAGGACAAGCATATAGATGCTCTCAGCATCTTCCACCCTGTGCAGCTCGCCGGCAAGAACATCCAGCCCATTTAGACAGTCCTCAGGCTTCCTTTGCTCCCATCTGTCTCTTTGTCCAAAAGAACCTTTCTGACTTAGGCTTGACCTCCCACTGGATGCCTTAACCTCCCACCAGTTAACCCTGTAAGCTATTTCGTTGGAGTGACAAGCTTTTCAGGTCGTTGGCCCTGCTTCCTCACAGGTGTTCAGGATATTGTGGAAGCTAGCACCCTAAGTTTCTCAAAGAAGAAACATTCTGCTCCCTTCACAAATGAACCGGCCTCATCTCCAAACTCCCCTGACTCATCATCTGCCTCTCTTGTTATTCACTTATTTACCGGCTGCGCTAGGTCTTTGTTGGTCCACCCTGGCTTTTCTCTAGTCGCGGTGAGTTGGGACTAATCTTGCAGGGCACGGGCTTCTCTGGTTGCGGAGCTCTAGAGCCTGGGTGTACTGTACTGTATAGTACAGTAGTTGTGGTACACGGCCTTACTTGCCTCTTGGCATGTGGAATCCTTCTGGACCAGGGATCGAACCCATGTCCCCTGCATTGGCAGGTGAGCTCCTAGCCCCTGGACTACCAGAGAGGTCCTCATCGTCTGCCTTAACTTCAGCTTGTTCTTCACGAGTGCTTAATACCCTGCGCTGGGTCTCGCCCATTTGTTTAGCAACCCAGTGTGCATCTGATATGCTCATCGTGGAATAAACAGGCATCCCCCACCCGCCCACTGCCACTTTCTCTCTGTGTGTGATGGCATTGTAATGAATTTGCGTTCACAGGGCAGTTCACATGACTCTTCTTAAAGTAGGATTATGCTTTTTTTGTTGTTTTTTTGGATGGAAACAACCATCACTGTGCTCTTGAGCTAACCAAAGACTTTTTTTTATTTGTGTTTTCTCTCAAAGCATCAAAGACAACTTTCTCTGCCCCTCACCCAATCGAAATCATCTCCCAAAAGAGGATTTTTCAGGGAAGAAACAGATCACTTAATTAAAAACCTGCTAGGCAAGAGAATCAGCAAACTGATCAACTCCTCGGAGGAGCTGCAGGACGGCTTCCGAGAGTTCTATGACGGCTGGCACAGCAGGCCCCCCAGCTACCAGGGGCTGCTGCTGCCTCACCTCGAGGGCCCGGAGATCAAAGTCTGGGCCCAGCGCTACTTGCGCTGGATTCCGGAGGCCCAGATTCTGGGTGGCGGCGGAGTGGCCACCATGAGCAAACTCTTGGAGATGATGGAGGAAGTCCAGCGCCTACAGGAGAAAATCGAGGCGAGACACCACAGCCAGGAGGCCCTCCAGGCAGAGGCTGCCTCGCCACCGAGGACCTCGGGCCGCCTGTCCTCCTTGTTCCCTTTCGCGCTGCTGCAGCGCCATCCCTCCAAGCCTGTCCTGCCCACCAGCGGGTGGAAAGCCTTGGGAGACGAAGACGACTTGGCCAAGCGAGAAGACGAGTTTGTGGACCTAGGGGACGTGTGACTGGCCTGCTCGGTGGCGGTGAGAGAGGACCCTCGCAGGCTGGGACAGGAGGTTGGACATGTCTGCTCTCCACGTCGGGGTGGAGGGCAAGCCTGGGTCTTCTGGAAAAGAGCTGGTTCTCATTTCTCACCGCCCCCAGTTCTGAAAGACTATGCAGTTGACTACCCGTATTTGAGTATTATTGAAAGGAGTTAGTGCGTGGTCCGTAATAGAGCTGTGGCCAGCGTCCTCTGCGTTAGTAGCACTCGGACCTCACGGTAGCTACTTTACTACTTAGAAAGGGCTTTGGTTAGCTGTGCTTGGACGCTGTACGGTCCTCACATCTTTCCTGTGCCAGCGTGCTTTATCCAGTCGTCAGGAGTAGCGTCTCTCTAGCCCATCCTGGTTCAGAGCAAGTTCAGCTTTACATGATATGTGTGTGTGTATGTGTGTGTGTTGGATTAACAGATTCAGACAGCGTTGTTAAGATGTGTGGCCTTCATTTCCAAACCGTAGCAGTTTTCCTGTGTCCTCTTGCCATGCGTGTCACCATCCTGACGTTCCCGACCACCCTCAGACTGTGTCACTTTATGTGGGGGCGGGTGGCTGGCTCGTGGGCCGACAGCTCCAGGTCCCCCCCACCCTGCCCCACCACCGGCTGTGCACCGCCTTCCACCATCCCTGCACACTCCCCGCCTTGGTGTACCTCGTCCTGGGATCTTGCTGCTAAGCCTGTGGGTCAGACTGGGGGAATCTCTTAGGTTTGCCCAGAGGAGCCTCCATTCTCCCGGAGGCACGCAGTGTTTGAAAGAGGTTGCTTCACCTTTTTCCAACAGCATGCCAAGGCTTCAGAGCGTCTGTGACCGCCGTCCTCAGGCGGTGTCCCCAGTTTCTGCTACCTTACAGCCCAGTGAGGATCACTGTTGAACATGGCTATCATAGGGAAGCGGTCAAGCGTAAGTCTCAGAAGTGATGGTGACCACAGAGTACCTCAGCGATTTAAAAAGCCATAGAAGAAACTTGACTATGCCTGGTAACCTTCCTGGATCTGCTGTTTAAATGATCTATAGTTTTTAAGTGCCAGAAAAGCACACTTAGTGAAGACCTGTTTTTTCATTCTCCGTGGAAACCTGTTCAGTCCACAAAAGGAAGTGGGAAAAATTATCAATCTCACGTCAGAATGTTCCCTATCAGAAGTTTGCCTTTTATACCTGTTTGCTCTCCAGTATGGATTCCAATTTGAACATTACCTGTTTAGAAAAGCTTTCAGTTGCTGAAGGGCAATAAGAAAATTTGAAACTGTTGACAAAGAGGAGTTTCTCGGTTTGCACTGAATCGTCTTTTGTACACCACAAGAAATTGCTTTGCAGTCCTCCCCATGCCATGTTGATGCTCAAGCCTTGTTGGTCTGTTCAGACGATGGAGGTTGAGGGGAGCGCAGGATTTATGCATCTGGGGCCAAACACATGCCCAGTCTTGGTTGCCTTAAGAGTCTCACTAGTAAGGTCAGTGTAGGCTTGCAGTGGGGACTATAAAATGACCCTAATTCATTGGTTATGTTCTGTGGGCCTTCTTAAATTAGCACGAACCTCCTTCCCCTGCCCCACTGCCTCCCAGATACACTATGGAGTTAACTAGTTTTGTTACCATATTATAATGGGAATATTTATACAGTAGCCTCTTCAGTCTTAAGATCTTAGTAATTTTCATTCCAAAAATGCCCGGTGTGATGCTTTACACTCCATAAAGTATGGTTTAAAGGCACAAGGTCATGGCCCCTGTCATAGCAGTTGAATGTGCATTGAAATATTTTTCTATGATTTTTTTAAAATAAAATTACAATAGAAGAATAAGCTGTTTTAACATGTAAGGTCATGACAGTTTATGTATTTATATCTGAAATGAGATTTCTATAAACTTGTATTTGTGTACAGGATTCTCAGTGGATTTATATATTGTGACATTTTTATTCAAGATTGAGATATGGATTATGGTTAACAGTAAAAGCTAAAATGAGATCATTTACTTTGTCTAAAATGCTGCACTGTGCACGTTTGGAAATGTGTATTAATTTCCTGTATATAATATCTTGAGTTTGTTTATACCTCCAGGTTTTTACACTGAAGATAAATTAGCTTTAATTACATTAGAAACTTTTTTTTTTTTTAAGGGAATAAGCTGTTGGGCTAAATCTGTATAAATGTGCTTTTTATTTTCTGGATGTTCAATGAAAGTTTATACTTGTATTTCACTGCATCATATCTGATTGCAGAAATTAAAGCACAATTTACAATACTGTATTTGGTGTGGTTGGTATAACATGGTATACTTATTTTCATTTAGTCACTGTGTTTGTCACAGTGGGGGTGGTTGACTGGTTAGTGGGTGGATGAAAAACTAATAACCAAATGGAGATTTAAAATTTCAGGAGGTGATAAAATACTATGACAAAAAATAGGGTAGCACCCTATAGGGTAAGAAGGTGGCGCTAGTGGTAAAGAATCTGCCTGCCAGTGCAGGAGACAGAAGAGACTCAGGTTGGAAGATCCATCCTCTGGAGCAGGCCTTGGCAACCCACTCCAGTGTTCTTGCCTGGAGAATCCCCATGGACAGAGAAGACTGGTGGGCTACAGTCCACAGTGTCACACAGAGTTGGAGACAACTGAGGTGACTTAGCATGCATGCCTGCCTATAGGGTAAGTAAAGGGAGAGAGTTTTTTAATCCCTGAAATTAAATATCACTGCCTCTTTGCTTTTGTGGGGATATATAAAATGAGAATAACTTTGTCGACGGAAGGGGTCTGATGAAAGAGAAAAGGCTTTGTTTCCTGCCTCAGAGAGTAAGCAGGCTGGCCTGGGTGGGATGGTGTGTACAAGGAGGACTTTTTCCTCATTCATTTGTTCAGCATTTGTCTCCGAGGTTGGTTGAGAAGCTCTCTTCTCTGCCCTCTCCTGCCCGCGGCCCTGTTCCCCGGCTCTGCCCACCCCCTGTTGCTGTGGGCCAGGCTTGTCACAGGGCCGGTTCCGAGCCATCCCTGGAACTCCGCATGCTCCCACTGCTGCCACATTGCCCTCATGTGTGGCAGGTACTTGATATTTGTATGAAACTCCCGTTAGAAGTTCTGGTGCATGCATGCTGAGTCACTTCAGTTGTGTCTGACTGTGACCCTGTGGACTGTGGCCTGCCAGGCTCCTCTGTCCATGGGATTCTCCAGGCAAGAATACTGGAATGGGTTGCCCTTTCCTCGTCCAGAGGATCTGCCTTACCCAGGGATCCAACCCACATCTCTTAGGTCTCCTGTATTGGCAGCAGGTTCTTTACCACTAGCGCCACCTGGGAAGCCCTGAGGTTAGCTGACTCCAGTCCTTTTTTCCACATTTGTTAACTAGCTCTTGGACTTGGGAGGACTCCCTCTCTCCAGGATTTGCTTGTTCCTGGATTTCCAAGTGAAGGCCGTGGGGGACTGAGGGAAAGCGGGGAGAGGAAGAGAGCATTTCCTTTCCCATCCAGAGTGAAATAGGACCGTGGGGAGAGGCGGACTCCCTGGCTCCCCTGTCACCTCCTGTCCTGGAAGGTGCGTGGACAGGCAGAGGGAACCTGCACTCTCGCTTGTCTTCTGAGCCCTCCCGTGGTCGTGCTCACTGTTTGTCAGCAGGAGAGTCTCAGCTGTGCTGTGCCCTGCTGGGCCCTAGGGCATTTGTGAAGCCCACCCCAGGGCAGGACCACTGCAGGGCCAGGAGACAGGGCCTTCAGTGACAGGTCCTTCCACATCGACCCTTCTAGCAGCCATCCCCAAACACACTCGCTCTTAAAAATGTTAGATGGGGGTGGGAGAGAGAAGGCCCTGTTTGTTCCGTGGGCTCCAGTGTAACCAGGTATTGTGCAAGGGCTTATATGGGAATGTATTGGCAATCAGGCTGGCCATGAGCAACAACGAAATAACTGGTTAAGGGTCATTTATATATTGAACAGGAAAGTTATTTGTTAGAATGATGGTTCTGTATCTCTAAAAACAGACAACTTGGTCTATTTTGTGGTTCCGGCCCAGGTTCTTTTAAATTCTTTGGTCTTTAATCCTCCATGACACCGTCTGCCTTTAGCAGTTTAAGGATATGAAGGTATGTAATCATATGGAAATACACACAGTCCTAACCAGTGAACCGCCAGAGAAGTCCTTAGCTTTTTAAAAAAATCTAGTTTTGCTGGTCAGTCCAGTGTTTGTTAAATTAAAAAAAAAAATATTAGGTTTGAATATTCCTTTTGTGAAAAGCTATGTGACTTTTGTTTGTTTTAGTCTTGAATGGAGAACTTTTCAAATAATCAGAGACCTGGGACAGGCGAGTGCACTGCTAATCCCCAGTGCTGAAAGGGCACAGGGCGTGCCATTCCTGGGCTGGGAAGGAATGCGGAAGGGCGACATTTTATCCCTCAGACTGACCTGAGGACCTTGGCCTGGAATGCACTGCCGCTGGGAGAGCTGAACATTCAGTTCAGTTCAGTTCAGTTCAGTCACTCAGTCGTGTCCGACTCTGTGACCCCATGGATCGCAGCACGCCAGGCCTCCCTGTCCATCACCAGCTCCCGGAGTTTACTCAAACTCATGTCCATCGAGTCGGTGATGCCATCCAGCCATCTCATCCTCTGTCGTCCCCTTCTCCTCCTGCCCACAGTCCCTCCCAGCATCAGAGTCTTTTCCAGTGAGTCAACTCTTTGCATGAGGTGACCAAAGTATTGGAGTTTCAGCTTCAGCATCAGTCCTTCCAATGAACACCCAGGACTGATCTCCTTTAGGATGGACTGGTTGGATCTCCAAGTCCAAGGGACTCTCAAGAGTCTTCTCCAATACCACAGCTCAAAAGCATCAATTCTTCAGCACTCAGCTTTCTTCACAGTCCAACTCTCACATCCATACATGACTACTGGAAAAACCATAGCCTTGACTAGATGGACCTTTGTTGGCAAAGTAATGTCTCTGCTTTTTAATATGCTGTCTAGGTTGGTCATAACTTTCCTTCCAAGG